CTAGATAAATAGGTTTTTCATATTTGAGTTTTTAATTAATTTCTTCTAAAGATGTTAACATGCTTTGACTCATGTGGGGCTGTTATACTATTTGACACACAAAATTTAAATATTGTTGTATTTTATTTTATCATGAACTGCTTGTCGATATAAAATGGAATAAGGGTGAGAGTGTGAGGGTAACTGTAATGAGACTTGATGTTGGTAGGAATGTTCTAAATTTTAGTTTGAGTGGTGGTTATATGGAAGTATTCAATTGACAAAACTCATCTAATTATCCTTAGAATCTGTGTATTTTATTGTATACAGATTATGCCTCAGTAAAAAACTTAAAATAGGAAAAAATAAAAAATAAGTAAAAATAAAAAATAAAATATTTTGCCAGAACCAAGGTCACTAAGATTTTCTCCTTTGCTTACCTGTAGATATTTTATGGTTTGGGCATTTATATTTATATCTATGATCTCTCACCAGATACAAAACTTCATATAAATGGTGTGAGATAAAAATCACGTTTCATTTTTCTGATTTTAATATGCAATTTGTTGAAAAGAATATTGTTTTCCAATTATATTGCATTGGCACCTGTGTGAGATACACATGTATATTGGTAAGTTTTCTCAGCTATGTCCCATTAATCTATATATCTTTATGCTGATACCACAATGTCTTGAGTATAGTAGCTTTGTAGTAAGTCTTAGAATCAAGTAGTAAAAGTTCTCTAAATTTTATTTTTCCAAATTGTTTTGGCTAGTCTAGCTCCTTTGCGTTTCCATATAAATTTTCAAATCAACTTGTCAATTTCCCCAAAAAACCCGCTGGAACTTTTGACTGTTACTGCATTGAATGCACGTATCAATTTGGAGACAATGGACATCTTAACAATAGTCTTCTGATCTACGACCACCATATATCTCGTCATTTATTTAGGTCTTCTTTAAGTTCTCTTAGCAATGTTTTGCAGTTTTTAGTGTACAAGTCATACAGATTTTTTTTCTCTTAGGTGTTTCATATTTCCTTATGCTACTGTAAATGTTATTTTTTAAAACTTCAATTTCCCAATGTTTCTTGCTGGAATATGGCAGTACAGTTGGTTTCTGTATCTCACAACCCTGATAAACTCACTTATTAATTCCAGTAGCTTTTTGGTAGGTTCCTTAGGATTGTGTGCCCAGTCAATCATGTCAACTGTGGATAAAGACTCTTTCAGATCTTCTTTTCCAATCTCAGTGTCTTCCCCCTCCCTCTATCTTGCTTTACTGCATGGACTAGGACCTTCGGTCCAGTGTTGTAAAGAAGTGGTGAGAGCAGACATCCTTGCCTTGTTCTTCATCTTAGAGATAAAGCATTCAGTCTTTCACCACTAAGTATAATGTTAGTTGTAGGATTTTTGTAGATTTTCCTTTATCGGGTTGAGGAGGTTCTCTTATATTCCTAGTTTGATAAGAGTGTTCATAATGAATGGTTGTTGGATTTTTGTAGTAGTTTTTCTGCATCTATTGAGATGGTCATATCCAATTTTCTTTGTAAGTCTGTTAGTATGATAAATAACAATGACTGATTTCCAAATGTTAAACCAACTGTGTATTCCTCAAACTCCATTTATGATGTTTACTATCCTATATATATGTTCTTCAGTGATACTGGTTGTTATTTTCTTATGATATCTTTTTTTATAAGTCTTAAGTCTCAGGTAATACTTTATAGATATTTTTGGGACATATTCCCTCCTATTTCTGGAAATATTGTATAAAATTGTACTCTATTAAATGCTTCTTAGAATTCACCAGGAAGTCTATCTGTGCCTGGAGTTTTCTTTGTGGGATTTCTATCAACTAAAAATTCAATTTAATAGCAGGACCTATTTATGCTTTTTTTTTTTTTTGAGTGAGTGAGTTTTGGTTTATGCCTCTCAATGAATTTTCTTTCACCTAATTTTTCAAATTTGTTTGCATTAAATTATTCATAATACATCTATATTGCTTTAATGCCTATAGGATTAAACATCCTTTTTATTTCTGATGTTTCTGAATTACATGTGTTTATTTCTCTTTTCAAATTTTTATTTAGAGGTTTATAAACTGTATTGCTCTTTTCAAAAAAAACCCAAGTTTTGATTTCCTTCATTTTTGCTGATGATTTTCTGTTTGCAATGTTACTGCTTTCTACTGTTATCATTTCTTTCTTCTACTTGCTTCGGGTTTGACTTGCTCTTCTTTTCTGGTTCTTATGTTGGAAGCTTAGATTATTGATTTGAGATTTTTAAAAAATATTTATTTTTGAGAGACAGAGAGATAGAGCACAGGAGGGGAGGGGCAGAGAGAGAGGGAGACACAGAATCTGAAGCAGGCTCCAGGCTCTGAGCTGTCAGCACAGAGCCTGATGCAGGGCTCGAACCTGTGAACCATGAGATCATGACCTGAGCCAAAGTTAGATGCTTAACCAACTGAGCCACACTGGTGCCCTGAGATCTTTCTTTTTAAATATAAGTATTTAATTCTCTTAAGTAAAAATTCTCTGTAAGTACTGCTTTAGCTGCATCCTCCAACTTTTGTTGTATTTTCATTTCCATTAAATCAAAAATATTTTCAAATTTCCCTTGTGACTTCTTGCACTCATAGATTACATAGAGGTATGCTGTTTAATATCTAAATAGTTGGACGTTTTCCAGAAAATTTTCTGTTATTACTGTTTTGTTTTTTTTTTCAACGTTTTTTTTTTTTGTTGTTGTTGTTGTTTTATTTATTTTTGGGACAGAGGGAGACAGAGCATGAATGGGGGAGGGGCAGAGAGAGAGGGAGACACAGAATCGGAAACAGGCTCCAGGCTCTGAGCCATCAGCCCAGAGCCCGACGCGGGGCTCGAACTCACGGACCGCGAGATCGTGACCTGGCTGAAGTCGGACGCTTAACCGACTGCGCCACCCAGGCGCCCGTTATTACTGTTTTTAATTTTTTTATTGATTTATTACTTTTAATTCATTTTTATGTTTTTAATTACTTTGTAATTCTATTGTGATCAGATAACATCCTCTGTATGATTTTAATTTTTTCAAATTTGTGGTTGTTTTATGACCTAGAATATAATGTATCTTGGTGGGATTTTTCACCAGCACTAGAAAAGAATATTCAGTGCTCATGCGGGGTACAGTGCTCTATCGATGCCAATTATGTCCAGTTTTGCTCAAGTCTTCTCTAGCCTTACTAAGTTACTGTCCACTTGTTCTACCAATCACTCATGAAAGGGCTTTGAAATCTCTGATTATAATTTTGGATTTGCCTATTTCTCCTTTCGGTACTATTAGTTTTTGTTTCATGTACTTCGAAGCTCTGCTATTAGGAAACAAGTATTTAGGACTGTTCTGTCCTTGTGTATAGTTTTCTTATCCAGTCTGTCAAACTCTGCCTTTATTTGGGGTGCCCAGACCACTTGCAGTTAAAATTATCATTGATAGGATTGATTTCAGTCTATATCATGCTATTTGCTTTCTCTTTGTCCTCTCCATTCTTTCCTTCCCTCTTTGTTCGCCCTTCTTTTGGACTGATTGTTTTTTATGATGCTATTTTATTTCCATCGTTACATTCTTATATTTACGTCTTTGTTCTTGTTGATTTTATGGTTGCTTTGGGGTTTGTAATATACATCTTTAACAACCACAGTCTACCTTTAAGCACTATTATACTACTTCATATGCACACTCAGGACCTTCTAGCAGTACACTTCCATCTCATCTCTCCCAACCTTTATGGCATCATTATCCTACATTTTACTTTTGCACTGTTCTAAGTTTACAAACGTCACAACATACTCTTGGTGTTTCTGCTTTAAATAGTAAAAAAAACTTTAAAAACTTAAATTTTTAAAAATTTTATTCAGTGATTAATTGCATCATATAATGGTATTATATTGGGGTTTTTTTGAACAATTTAATTGTAATGTCAGGAAAATAAGCAATTATATTTTGCTTGAAATGCAGATTTTCAATATGAGAGAAAAAGGAATATAATTGTGGGATCAAAAATTAAAGTGCAACTTGATTGGTAATATCAATATTAATTCATTCCTTTACAACTCTAATACCTATCTTTAAAAAGTTCAGTAAAAAACATGTAACACAAAATTTATCATCTAATCTATCTTTAAGTGTACAGTTCCATAGTTAATTATCTTTTAAAGAGATTTAAGTAGTAAGAATAAAAGTTGTTTATATTTACTTACTAATTACCACTTTTGGTGCTCTTCATGGATCCAGGTTTCGACCTAGAACCGTTTTTTTTCCTGCCAGAAAAATTTCTTGTAGTGCTGGTCTGCTCAGAATAAGAGAATTCAGCTTTTATCTGTCCAAAAAGTTTCTTTCACCTTCATCTTCAAAAGATATTTTGGTGGGTCTGTTGCTACTAATTGATTTTTCTTCTTAAATGGGATCTATTTTCCTGGTTTTTTTCACGCTTGGTAACTGAATGCTATATGGTAGACATTGTGAATTGTATATGATTTGGGATACTGAAGTGGTTGTATTCCTTTAAATATTGTGGGGATTTGTTCTGGGTATGCAGTGAAGTAAACGTGTAAACAATCTGATTTTTCGGCTTGCTTTAAACATTTGTTAGAAAGGTGCAGAATGACTTTTAGCATAATCCATTTAGGTCAGTGTCTTAGGACAGAAAGAAGGGTTGAGAAGGGTACAGAGTGGATCTGGAGGGCCAAATACAAGTTACCTGATATGTAAGAGTAAATCCTTATTTTCATATCTGATATTCCTATAGACTGTAATTTCCTTGGGATCAAAGGCATGTCTTTTTTCTATTTATATCTCAGAGAGTAACAGCGTCTCACAGATAGCAGGCATTTGTTAAGTGTTTGCTTATCTAAATATTGTTTAAAACATAATCTTACATTTTCTTTTTAAAAATAACATGCAGTTCTTTTTGTAGTGATACCATTTTTTTAAGAAGAACTTAAAACAGTATATATTTAGTAAGTCTATTTCATCAACTTACATTTTCCTCATCCATTCTATTTTTCTAATTTTTCTTTTCTTTTCCATATCTTGCCTTCTCTTCAGTTTAGAGAAATGGAATTCGCTTTCTTTTTTGTCTCCCACCTCTACGTTTTCAGGAGACACCCAAAACTGTTGAGAAATGGAAAATGAATATACAAAGTGTTGAAATACTGATTGTGAGGTAATTTGGCTACAGTCAAAAGTTCTGTGTGTTCAGTAGGAATATGCCAAGAGAGAAACAGAGGAGAGAATACACCTCCTCTAAGGTATTTCCTATGCCACAGGTGAATAGCGCATTGAGCTTTCAGAGGCACATGTCACAGAAAGACTAACAAAGCACTAGCATACTGAGGTACTTAATAACTATTCGTTGAATGGGTAAATGAAAAGACATACTCCAATACTGTTTTTGTTTTTCATAAGAACAAACTCTTTACTCGTAAGAACAAACTCACCTACTCTCAGTGCTGTTGACGTTTGAAGACTCTAATTCTCAGGGAGGACAGGTACCCTCCAAGAACAGGGAAGTCTCATCATTTTGTCCCAAGAGTTTGTGGTTTCCTGTATGACATGCTATCCTAACTGGTTGCCTATTTTTCCTCCTTCCAATTCATTGCCTCTCCTTCACCGCATATTAAAAAACAAGGAGGAGAATTTTCTATCCCCCACAGCACTACGTATTTGTCTCTATTAAAGCACGTATTTACTACACTGTACTGAAAAACTCTTTTTTACTTAAGTCTCTCCCAAATTAAAAGGCAAACTACTTGAGAGAAGGGACTATTTTATCTACCATTGTATCCCTAGCATCTAGTACAATGCCTGACATATGTTTGGTATGCAATAAAATTTGTTGAATAAGTGTGTGAATACACAACTCGATCATGTTCACTTTTCATTCTTAGTATATTTAATATACTACATTCTATAATCTACACACCAGAGATTAAAAATTTGAATGAAGATATGAGGCCATATAAACAGACATCTAGAGCTATAGAACCTGATCATGTTAACCTAACCAAACATGCTTAGGTAGAAATTATCCCCACAAAAAGAGGAGGTAAAACATGGGTGTCTATGGAAAAGTCCCTACATCACATATACGTATTAAGAACTATGTATATTTAAAATCATTCCATTCAATTAATATGACGACATGTTAAAGTTCCAAACACCATGACAATCCAGATGATTTTCCACCAGTATCTGTTGTTACAAGCTCTGTAAGAGAAAATGTCATCTTTTTCTTAAGAATTCCCACCTCTAGGGGTGCCTGGGTGGCTCAGTCAGTTAAGTGATTGACTCTTGATTTCCGCTCAGGTCATGCATGATCTCATGGTTCGTGGGATCGGACTGTGTTGGGCTCTGTGCTGACAAGGTGGAGCCTGGTTGGGGTTCTCTCTCTCCCTCTCTCTGCCCCTCCCCCTGCTCATGCCCTCTCTCTCTCTCTCAAAATAAATAAACACTAAAAAAAAAAAAAAAAAATTCCCACCTCTAGTCCAAGGATTAATAGAGTCAACAACATTTTCCAATTTGCTTTGTTATAAAGATACTAAACTGCTGAGTTCCAAACAGTATCTAAATATGGCCTAGATCAAAGCTGATTACTAGAAATATAAGCAAATGTAAAGAAAAAAAAGATACACTGTTCATCTTGAAGTATTATTAGTAACCTCTGAGTATTTACCATCATCAGGTTTTATCAGTTAAATTACCAAGATTTATTATTTTAAAATTATTTTTCAAAAAGACAAAAGAGTTCCTAAATATGTAAGATTCAAAATTATTAATATTTTTATTTTCTTACTGTATCAGAGACAAGCCTCCAGCCATTGTTCTCTATACGACGATACCAGCCACGATGATCCTCTTCCTGAAGATTATCACTTTTAATATGAGATGTATATTTTGCTGGAAGTTTTGTATAATCTCTAGGGCTATTAGCACACAGATCTTCAATAGGTCTATGAGTGAAAATTTTATAGTATATATCAGGTGGAAATTTAACCTGTATATGGAAAAGTTCAAAGGACCACTGTAATCACAAAAAACGATTTATATTTTTAAAATTTAAATCTTTTAAATTTCATATAAATGTGCTTTAAAATTACCAAATAAGAATTCACCCATACTTACACCACCTAATCTGAATCGTACATGAATGCCTGCAGCAGCATCTAGCAGCTCTGCCTACAAAAAAATACATTACTCTTCAAAATTCTGTGTGTATCAACTCACCACTTCTCACTCTATCATGCTAAAATAGTGCTGAATATTAATTATTTATGAAATAGGTCAAGTAAATAAGCCGTAAATAATTATTTTTAAATTAAAATATATTTTAAGATTTAATTTCTAATGGGCATCCAATAAGTAAAACAGTTTTTGTAACTGGAAAAATGATACCAAATATGTTCCCTTTCTGCGCAACATATAAGCATAGAAGCCAAGTGATTTGTTATTCCAAAAACAGAAATTTTAAATAAGTCCTCAAACATATGACTTACATATTTATCTTACAGGTAAATTCAGAGTAAAAAAATGTCATTGGCTAATCCACGTTTAACACAAGATGACCATTCCTAAGTAGCTTTTCTTAAATCAAAAATCCATGCTTAAATTTTTTAAGAATTGTATAGAATTGGTCTTACAAATTTTAATGCCTTGCACCAAATGTAAAAGAGAGAAAACAATTTTGGGTCCTTTAACAGAAGAGTTCAAGCTTACCACCTGATAGTACTGTTAGATGAGAATATACATAGTATCCTAAATCGTTCAGTCTATAAAGCCTAAAAGACTACCTTAAGTTTTGCATAATTTTCTCCTGACTAAAAAGCATATACATACATACATACATACATACATACATATGTAGGGTCATAGTTCAATCGTGAAAGATATGTTTTATAACAGGATCTTAAACTTACATTTATAAAATTTATACAGGTGACCCTTAAACAACATGGGTTTGAACTGCACGGGTCCACTTATATGTGGATTTTTTATAGTATAGCATTGTAAATGTATTTTCTTCTTACGACCTTCTTAATAACACGTTATTTTCTCTAGCTTAACTTACTGTATGAGTACAGTGTATAATACTTGTAGCATACAAAATACATATTAATTGACTATGTTATTAGTAAGGTTTTCGGTCAACAGTAGGCTATCTGTAGTTGAGTTTTTGGAGAGTCAAAAGTTACACATGGATTCTCTACTGCATGGGCAGGGGGTCACTGCCCCTATCCCAACGTTATTCAAGGGTCAACTGTATATACTTTTTAAACAAAATTCATTATATATACTTTTATGTCCAGTAAAGTAGGCAAATCTTAAGTGTACAGCTTCATGGAATTTTTTCCTTCCTATTTCAGTCAGTTAGGGTGAGGTGCTAATCATGTCAATCCAATCAAAAATTTAGCTGGCTCAAGCCTGGACTGCAGTTTTAGTAATCTATGTCTGGTTTGTCCACTTCTAGTTTTCCCCTATTTCTTAGATATGGCAACTCTCTATCTCTTCAACTATGAAAGCCTATGGGAAATTCAAAAGTACGTTGAGAAGATTTAAGCTTAATTCTTTATCTTTCTACCTACCATCTACAAACTCAAATTGGGATGAGAGTCAGCTGTGTATTTGAGGCAGTTCCGTTCCCTTAAGCATGACTCTGTCTCCTATGCCTATGGGGAATTTCATTTAGTGCAATAGTGTTATTGAAAATGGACTTAGATTAGCTGTAAATACTCAGTGCAAATTCTAGGGAACCAAAAATTAGTAAAAAAGAGGTATAATCGATATGCTAAGAGGAAAGAAAATGTAATCATATAATATGCTCAATTAAAACCAGAGAAGACAGAAAAAGGGTGTAATAGAAAAAAAGAAACAAAGAACAAGGGCAAGAAATAGAAAACATTAAATATGTTAGACATCAATCACCATACTAAATATCAATGGTCTAAATACACAAGTTAAATGGCAGAGACTGACAGAATAGATTAAAAAAAAAAAAAAAAGACCCAACTACATGTTGTCTGTAAGAAAACCATTTAAAATATAAAGACACAGATAGAGTAAAAGCATAGTAATGGAGAAAGATATAACATATTAACTAACACTGATTAAACAAAAACCGAGAAGCTGTATTAATTTCAGAGACAGCTGAATTCAGAGCAAGAAAAATCATCAGGGATAAAGAAGAGTATTACAAGATGATAATGTGGCCACTTCTCTGAGGAGACATAACAATCCATAAAGTACATATACCTAACAATATAGTATCAAAATATGAAGGCAAAAATTCAAAGAACCGCAAGGAGAACTAGAGAAATCTATTATAGTTGGAGAATTTGACACCTCTTTATCATTAATTGACATATTCAGCAGTCTATTGTGAAAATGAAGAACACTTTCAATTAACTGGATCTAGATTTCTACAACACTTCATCCAACAGCAGCAAACATACATTCTACTCAAGCTTACAGAGAACTTTTATTTACCAACATAGAACATGTTATGGACCATAAAGTACACTTTAACAACTGTAAAATAAGAGAAATCATACAAAGCATGCTTTCAGACTCCAATGTAATTAAACTAGAAATCAGTAACAGAAGGGTAGTCCGAAAATGCCCAGAACTTGGACAGTGAACAACACACTTCTAAATAACAGGTGGATCAAATAGGAAGTCTCAAGAGAATTTTAAAATATTTTGAACTAAATTAAAATGAAAACACAGCTTATCAAATTTTGTGAAATGCACTGAAAACAGTGCTTAGGGGAAAATTTATAGCACTAACTACATACATCTGAAAACAAGAAAGACTTGAAATCAATAATGTAGGCTTCCATCTTAAGAAACTAGGAAAACAAATTAAATCAAAAGTAAGCAAAAGTCAAGAATAAAAAAACAGAAATCAATGAAATTGAAACAGGAAATCAACAGAGAAAAATCAAAGAAATTAAAACCAATAAAGCTCAATAAAACCAATAAGCTTCTGTACAACAAAACTAAGAAGGAAAAAATAGAAAGAAGACACAAATGACTAATATCAGAAAAGAGGGGCCATCACTACTGATTCCATGGACAGTAAAAGGATAATTAACAAATATTATGAAAAACTCTATTCCCACAGATTTGATAAATGGTTCAATTCCTTGAAAGACATAACCTGACAAAACTCACACAGGAGAAATGGAAAATCTGAATAGACTAATACCTATTAAAGAAACTGAATGAATAATTAACCTTTCAAAAAAGAAAGCGCCAAGCCTCAATGGGTTCAATGGTAAACTCTACAAAACATTTAAGGAAAAAAAATATCAATTCTCTACTATCTCTTCCAGAAAACAGAAGCAAAGGGGACAGTTCCTAACACTACTCTAAATACCATTACTCTAAATACCAAAAACATAGGGGTGCCTGGTTTTCGGTGGCTCAGTTAAGCATCCAATTTGGATTTTGGCTCAGGTTATGATCTCATGGTTCATGGGTTCCAGCCCCACAGACCCTGTGTTGACAGTGCAGAGCCTGTTTAGGATTCTCTCTCCCTCCCTCTCTCTGCCCTTCCCTAGCTTGCTTTCTCTCTCTCTCCCTCTCTCTCTCTCTCTCTCATTAAACTTAAAAAAATAAATAAAATTTACATGGAAATACAAAGCATCCAACGATAGCCTGGAAGTGTCTTCTTGAAGAACTACAAAATGGGAGTATTGTCTACCATATAATATACTTGTTACAAACTCAATTATAACAAGGGTAGAAAAATAGATCATGGAAGGTAATAGAGAATTCACAAACAGACTCATACATAACTGGTTACTTGATTTATGATAAAAGTGGCATGGCAGAGCAGTGGAGGCAGTGGAGAAAGGACTATCTTTTTAATAAACAGTGTTTGATCATTTTGATATCTATAAGGAAGAATATGAAAGGGATCTCTACCCCACACCATACACAAAAAAATGAATCCCGAGTAGTGTGTATATCTAAATATGAAAAGAAAATCAATAAAGTTTATATAATATAGGAGAATACTTTCGTGATTTCAGGATTGGCGAAGCTTATAAAAAGCGCCAATCATAAACAAAACGACTGATAATCTTAAGTACATGAAAATCAAGAACCCTGGGGGTACTTGGGTGGTTCAGTTGATTAAGCATGCAACATCAGCTCAGGTCATGACCTCGTGGCTGTGGATTTAAGCCCCGTGTCAGGCTCTGTGCTGACAGCTCAGAGCCTGGAGCCTGCTTCAGATTCTGTGTCTCCCTCTCTTTCTGCCCCCTCCACCCATCACTCACACTCTCTCTCTCTCAAAAATAAAAAAACATTAAAAAATTTTTAATTAAGAACTCTGTTCACCAAAAGACATTCTTGTTTCAAAATACTAACCTAGGGATTGGGGAAAGAGGGTGGAAATATAGATGAAGCAAGACTGGGGGGGAATTGATAACTGTTGACGCTAGGTGATAGGTACCTGTAGTCTATTACTTTATTTTTTTGACTTTTGTAATATGTTTGCCATTTTTCATGATAAAAAACACACAGTGAGGACCATCCTAAGAGTGACAAGTCAAATCACAGAATGGAACACGAAACGACAAGGACTTTTATGAAGACTATATAAAGAACTGCTTTAAACTAGTAGGAATAAGAGACAATATACACATAAAAGACACCAAAAAAATGTCAGGAGCTCAGCTGATCTGGAAGAACGGTAGGTGAGATGTCAGTGTCAGAGTAGCCAATTAAGGAAACAAGCACGAAGGGAAAGAAAGCTTTTGACCACTTACTACATGGTAATAAGCAAGAGTTAGGGCATCTACAACTAGAGGAGGCACCAATCCACCTGTTCCATCTCACCCTCACCCCCCTCCTCCCCGCCCCACACCGTGAGCAGTGCAGTGACAGAGTCAGGTGGATCAGCACAGAATCCTGAACAAAAGGCTCCAGCAGTGTTAGGGACCATAAGGTGTGTACATTCAGGGTAGGAGGTATGTAGGAGATTAAGGGAGGACAGTCTGAGTGGACTGAGTCAGAGTGGGAAAAGGGTCTTCAAGGTTTCCCCCATAAAGAGGTCTCAGCAGAGGTGTCTGAAGACCTCAGCTCAAAGCCTCAGATAAAGAACTAAAAATGAAAGTGCTGGGACTAGATACTTAAATATGTCGGGGGTCGGGGGTTCCGTCCAGGGTGTCTGAGTCCCAGCCTGAGCTCCCTTGAGAGGCTGCAGGACACTGCCATGCACCAAGTCTGATTGTGAGGAGGGGACAGCCTTCCTGTGTGGGGCCTGTTGGATATAGTCCCTGTAATTGTGTCTGATCAGGCCTGGAAGAGCACACAGGATTGTAACCAGGAGCGGAACTCCTCACAAAGATGTGCAACTTCACTAGCTATCAGGGAAAGGCAAATTAAAAAGCTGAAATTAAACACTGATAAGGATGTAAAGCACCAAGAATTCCAAGAGACGGATGATGGCTAATACAAATTGTACAGTAACTTTGGAATATAGTTTGGCAGATCCCGTTACCCAGAAATTCCATTTCTAGGTAGAACAGAAACCAAAAGAAATTCGTGCACATATGCACCAGGGCAGATGAATAAGAATGTTCCCCAAAGCAATCTTTATAACAGACTCAAACTGGAAAAAATATATATGTATAAATGTCAACCATTGAATGAATTAACAGTAGTGTGTGTGTGTGTGTGTGTGTGTGTATAATGAAATAATTATCATTGTTTTTCATAAAATGAATACAATTCAGCTACACAAACACAATGCTGAATGAACAAAAAGCACACCATAAGATTCTATTTACATACAGTTCAAAAACAGAGAAAACTAAAGAAAAAAAAGCTACAACAAAATGGTGGTTGCCTCTCGGGAGCAGGGAAATTGGCGGTGATGTGCAAAGCCTGGAAGGCAGTGGTTTGAAGTAGGAAACATTGATCTGGGTTATGTACGTTACACAGGGGGCTGTTTGTGATGATTCAGTGACCGTATACATTTATGTTTCATGAACTTTTCTATAACGTGCTTCAATAAAAAAGGGTTTTAAAAGAAACAAATACGAGCACATTTATAAAGCAGCCACACATCTTGAAGGGAAAACACAGATGCTGTATGAATAAACAGTGTCCTCACCTCTTTAGGATTGATGTATCTCACTATCTGACGTGGCTCTCCTCGTCTTCTTAGATCAATCAATCTTTTAAAGTGTTGGAAGACAGTGACATTCTAAAGGTTCAAATACATAAGACTGTATGGTCAAAACTGGATTTTCTACCTCTGATTAGCTTTTTGCCTAATTAGGGCAAAATGAGTAAAAACCATATAATAGATTTTATGTGTGTGAACTAGATTTTAGAAATATTACCACTCACGATTTACTTTGACAAGCCAGGCAATACCAATTTTATTCTCACAACGAGTTTTACCCTTCACTTTGGAAGTACATCACTAGCAAGTGTAAAGAAAATACCCAGGACATTGGTTGAGTTGCTTTTGCATGTTCCAGAGTCATCCAGGAGGAAGACAAAATAGAGCCTACTGGTTTAAGAACACGGAGCATGGCATCATATTATCTGAGTTCAACAGTTTTTACCAACTCACCATGTGACCCTGGACAAGCTGCTTAAATTGTCTCCTCGGTGTCTCACCTAAAAACTGGGAAAGATAGTGGCTATCTCCTACAGCTATGGTGAGGAGTTCATGAGTTAATATTCATAAAGCACTCAGAACAACTTCTGGCCCAAGAAAGCACTAAATAATTATTATTCTATTATTACCATTACAGAAACCTCATTACTGTAGCAATTCCACTGATTTACAAACCCTACCTACTATTCATGTTAGGACATATTTGGTCAAACAACTCCAAACAACTCTTTTTTTTTTTTTTTTTTTTTTGAGAGAGAGAGAGAGAGAGAGAGAGAGAGAGAGAGAGAGAGAGAGGGAGGGAGGGGCAGAGGGAGGAAAATACAGAACCCAAAGCAGGCTCCAGGCTCTGAGCTGTCAGTACAGAGTCTGACTCAGGGCTTGAACTCATGAACCGCAAGATCATGACCTGCGCTTAAGTTGGATTTTTTTTTTTTTTTAACGTTTATTTATTTTGAGACAGAGAGAGACAGAGCATGAACAGGGGAGGGGCAGAGAGAGAGGGAGACACAGAACCAAAAGCAGGCTCCAGGCTCTGAGCCATCAGCCCAGAGACCGACGCGGGGCTCGAACTCAAGGACCACGAGATGGTGACCTGAGCCGAAGTCGGACGCTTAACCGACTGAGCCACCCAGGCGCCCCTCCGAACAATTCTTCTCTCTCAGACAACAATTTCTTTGGTAACACTCTCCTCATATTCTATCCCCCAAAAAACCCTTACTAACTCTTGGTAAACTCCCCCTACCCCACCCGTGAGCTTATGTTAAATCAAATAAGTTCAAACTGAATCCACATCACTAATAAGACAATTTGAATTCCCACTGCTTCAATGAAGCACATTGCCTGTGGAGATGGTGTAGCCCACATCAAAACAGATAATATTCTTTCTGAAAGGAAGATATAATTTCCAGTAGGTATAACCCCAAGTTGAGTATCAAGAAAAATTTATGGTGATACCTTGGGGATGGGGAATAAAAATTTAGTGCTTTTAGAATGGGTTCGGACTTGGGGCGCCTGGGTGGCGCAGTCGGTTAAGCGTCCGACTTCAGCCAGGTCACGATCTCGCGGTCCGTGAGTTCGAGCCCCGCGTC